TGAAGCACGAGCTGGAAAGGGGGAGAAGTGTTGTTGGCAAGCTGTTTGAGGTTTCTCCATGCCTGCTTGGAGCTCATAGCGGACTGGATCGGGCCTCTCCCCAATCTGCAGACAGCCTGGGAGGCTCTCTCGGAGGCCTTATCCCCTGGGACGCCCTTTTCCTTGAGAAGGGAAGCAAGACCCAGGTCTACCATATCAGCGACCCCTGCACCCAGAAGGAGTGGGGCCCGGACAAGAGAGTCGATGCCCAAGTAGGACTCAAACGCAGCGGCAAAGTTGGCAGCTATAGCCAGCGCAGCCTCGTGCGAGGACGGGACTAAGGCATTCAGATAACTCCAAAGGTCAGCCAAGGCAAAGTGTCCACACAGCCCTGGGGCAGGAGGTCGCCAGGGACCTTGCCTGAAAAAGAAACAACTGCTGGTCAGGCCCAATACCTTGCTCCATAACCTGTGCACGGAGGAAACCTCTAGGTCCATGATGCCTATGGGGCAGCTGTCCCACGCCTCAAATCTGCCATGCGGGATGTCCCAAGCGAATGTAACCCAGTGCCCTGAAAGAGGCAAAGCACTGATGACAGAGGCTCCCCTATAAATGGCTGCCGCAAAAGCACGCAAGGGCTCTGGATCATCGTGCTGATGGCATTGCAGCAGGAGGAGGGGCTCAAGGACGACAACTTGACTGCATGAGCCTGCTATGAAAGCCAGAGACTTGGCAACCTGATCATCAGCAAGCGCAACGCCTTGGAGGGACAGGGAAGCAGCCCTGTCAGCGGAGGGCAACACGGTGGCAACAAGAAGTGCTGGCTCTTTAACTTGAAAGGCACTCGGATTGAGGAGTGTGGGGCTGTCAGCAAGGGGAGAGCACGGCCTCCACAGGCGCAGATCCTGACCTGGACAGACTGGAGCGTCCAGCGGCAGCACTTGACCATGGCAGTCGCACACCAGGTATGAGGGAAGCGGCGCGGTCCCCCAGGCGAGCTTGAGGACATGCAGCAAGATGCCCGGACTAGAAACCTGGATGGGGAACCAGGTCCCAAATCGAGCAGGGCCGGGACCACCGCCTGGGACTTCTAGATCAACTGGAGCCTGCTGCCCAGCTGGCCTCAAGTCTGGCGTCCCTGAAGCAGCAGCCAATGCATGAGTAACCGCGCTGTCGCTATCGAGACGTGCTTGGGGGGAGTAAACCTTAAAGGGGTCAAACTGGGGGAAGGAGGCTGCAGCAAGAGCAGGTTGTGACCGCGCGGCAAAACCAACTGAGGCCGGC